ACTTAAAGTAGTAGTGGGCCTGTTATTGATGTTATTGTTATGTAAAGAGTAGAATGTTGAACTCAATAAAGCAGTTGCAAAGATTGTTAATTGTCTTAAGTCCTTGTTACAACTATCACATTTTTTTTATGGTGTAATGTTTTTTTTTGTATATAAAACAACCTTACTTTGACACTAGACACCAGCAGAGAACCTTAATACTTGTGAGCTAAGACAAATGTTGTGATACATAAAGAGAAATAAAATACATTATCTTTTTTCAACAGTTTTACAACACTAATACTTAATACTTTTAAAAATGTTGGCATGTAATCTACATTATGAATACTTGTTACCTTACATCTAACAATGTCTATGTTAATCACACCTACAAACTAATGATTTTTCACTGTGAAATGTTGTTATTTTTTAGATAAAATTATTAATACTTTATATGTGTATATAATTAAGTAACAGCAGATGTTATTTAATACTTAGATGTTAAGTAATACTTAATATGTATCAAAAAGCAACATCAACACATGTTACGAACATTAGTTTTTGATGCATATCATTAAGAAACATTGATGGGTGTTAACAACAATAATACTTAATATACATTATTAAGAAACATATATTAATAGTAATTTTTATCCATCACATTAAAATTAGTATTTAACTAACATACATTTAATAAAGTTTTGGTGAAAATAATTAGGAACACCCATTTTCTCTTGACAAAATTGCAAATTGAATTTTCTCTAATTTTTCAACAGAAGAAGTGTTGTAACATGGTTTACATAACTCTGTATATAGAACTTTTTATAAATCATTAGATGAATATCTGTGTTTACAACAGTTCTCCTGAATATCACAAATTTTATTTTATCAACACTGAACTTCCTATTTTATGATGGACAATTCATAATTTTTGTTCAGTTACTTCTTACACTATTAAAATAAGTTGCTAAGAATTTTTTGGAGTGTTCATTAAGTACTGTTGTTGTGCATGAGACTTTGTTTTAATTGTCCCTGTTTTTATCCATATGATTTTGTTTCGTAGGTGTTTGGCAAATTTGTATAATCACATTCTATACTTGACTAGAAAAAGTTTGCTAATGTCCTTAGGTGTTTGGTTAATCTGTACACTTTACTAGGAAAATTTATTAATGTCTTGAGCTGTTTGGCTAACCTGTCTAATCATATTCTACACTTTACTAGGAAAGTGCTAATATCCATAGTTTAGTTAATCTGTATAGTCACATTTTACACTTTACTAGAAAAATTTGGTAATCTCCATAGGTGCTGGGCTTAATCTGTATAGTCACATTTTACACTTTACTAGAAACATTTGGTAATCTCCATAGGTGCTGGGCTAATCTGTAAGTCACATTGTATACTTTACTATAAACATTTGGTAATCTCCATAGGTGCTGGGCTAATCTGTACAGTCACATTTTACATTTTACTAGAAACATTTGGTAATCTCCATAGGTGCTGGGCTAATCTGTATAATCACATTTTACACTTTACTAGAAACATTTGGTAATCTCCATAGGTGCTGGGCTAATCTGTACAGTCACATTGTATACTTTACTAGAAACATTTGGTAATCTCCATAGGTGCTGGGCTAATCTGTACAGTCACATTGTATACTTTACTATAAACACTTGGTAATCTCCATAGGTGCTGGGCTAATCTGTATAGTCACATTTTACACTTTACTAGAAACATTTGGTAATCTCCATAGGTGCTGGGCTAATCTGTATAGTCACATTTTACACTTTACTAGAAACATTTGGTAATCTCCATAGGTGCTGGGCTAATCTGTATAGTCACAT